TTCGCTCTGTGGTCTCCTTTCCTTCGATTCGTAGTAGAAATAAAAGAAAATGTTGGCTTTCTGATGCTTTAAATGTCGTTTCAAATGAAAGCGAACCTAGGCGGCTTGAAAACCTTAAGGTGCATTATTGATACTTTCCCCTGCAGCAACGGTGCAGAGGCTCCCTATTGATTTGCCTAATGTGGCAAAACTGCTCCACTCTCCTGCTTGCACAACGGCTGTCTGTGTCAGCGCGGAACCGGAGCTCTGCTGCATTAAAGAACTGTTCATTTATTCCCTCTCCATTCCTGTCACTCACATTGAGAGACAGTTGTTGCATCGGACACTGTGATTATCATTTTTCGCCGCCGAGTGTTTATAATGAGCCCGCTGTCCCTCAGTGTGGGTCTTATCTTTGACTAACGCTTTCAGTACCTTAAAGCAACTTTATTAAACACTGCACAATACTCCTCTGCATACAAGGCTCCTTCACCTGATGTAGACTTTGGCTGTGCTGAGCGAATACAAATACCACAATTCTCGCAGTGAGTTTGCAGTAATTGTAATTGTAAATTTGATGTGTTCTCCTGTGGCAGTCTGCCTGTTTATGTTTTGTTGGAATGATGAAATATGTGATAAATTGTTGCTCAGTTTTACGGCTCACTCTTTTAAGGTTTTCTTTTGACGGGAGCTCGTCAGTTTCTTTTTGAGTTAGGGTTATGACATTTTAGAGTCTTGTTTTTGGGTCTCTAAGCTTACTGTACTGGTGAAATCGTATTGGACTAGTGACCGTTTGATCTTTTTCAAAAGCTTCAAGACTTTATTATTGAGACACATACTATGTTAGAAACCAGCCTACATAGGGTGAAAAGAAAAAAAAGTTAATAATTTACGTTACCAGACTTTGCTTTTCTGGTGAGCATCTGGGGTTTATGCATAGATGTTTTTGGCACATGAGCATAATATCCACAGAGTGGACTTGCGGTGTGCATAAAAGCTAGTCAACGGTGCGCTCCACTGCTCTTGCGCTATGCAACAAACCACACTTGCAAGCAATTGAAAGAAATTGGTTTCATAGCGCAGTGCTTTTGGCATCCGCTGTGAAAGCCAATTCCCTTTAAATAATGACTTTCCTCATTCACTCTTGCAGTGACTATGTAGCTGCCTGTCACTCTGGGTGGAGACCTGCTGCAAACGCAGGTCTGTGTAGTTATACAGCACGAATACAACCGCCCCCTGAGCAAGCTGAGAGAGAATCACATGAGCTTTACTGGGGCTCCTATTGGCTGTCACTCAAAGTTGCTCTTCATTTGCATAAAGTTGAAGGATTCTCAACTTTGTTGCATTGCACGGCACGCCCTTCTGATCGCCAACGGTCACTGTTGCTCGTGTAGACTGAGGTCACCGGAAGTTGCTTGCTCTTATATACAGAAATAAACAGTCGCTTTGCTGCTTTGTCGCTGCGAGTTGCTCGTAGTGTTAATGAGGCTTATGGCGGGAGGGAGTATGAAGTGCTCATGTTTTTAGTTAGTTTTTCTTGTTTTCACAAAAATGAAATGTTCAGCAGTTAAAAAATATGGTGCATCCTAAATATGAATAGCAATAGTACTATGCTGTAATTTAAAAACTATTATTAGTCTAAATATTAAATTTGCTTTTGCTATAGTTGTAATTAAACTATGAAAACCTAAATAACATTGAGGCAATTTTAAGTTGTAATAACAATAATATTAATAGCAATAATAATAACAATAGCAGCAATAATAATAATAAAATACAAAAAAGCACCAAAGAAACAAAAAATCATTTAACATCTGACCCCCGTCCTTAAAACAATCAGGTGTTACAGATGTCTAAGGTATGAAATGAAAACCTGCCACCAGCCAATGCAATATGCTTTGCAAAGTGGCAGGTAATTTGGTTTATCTGCTAGCTACTGTGGCATGAGACCTGAATAGAATCTCGGATTGACACTGACAAGGAATGTCATTGCAGTGGCTTCAGCTTTTTGCTCACTTTGTGGATAATACCAAGCTCTGCAGGTTATACTTTCTTGACAGATCCTAATTTTAATTATTCTGTAGGTTACTATATTAAACTAATGACACATAATAAATAGTAACAAAATAGTAACAGTGATAACATTAATAATTATTATGTATATTATTATTATCATTTCATACTTTTAAAACCTATTTTACACATTCTAATTTGTTTTTAATGATTTTTTTTTTGTTTTATTTTATTTGTTTTATCTTATGCTTGTTTTTTTATTCCTGTTTATGTAAAGCACTTTGATTTACCATTGTGTATGAAATGTTCTATATAAATAAACTTTCCTTATTATTATTATTGTTATTGCTGTTTGATCTTCTGTTTGTCAGCAAACTGTAAAATGACTGCTTTGATTTTGAAGACATTTCAAGCACAGCAAGAAAGAGCCACTGCGTTTTCCCAAAAATGTTTTCTTTAAAATAATTTGTTATTATGTTTTTTTTTTTTTCATTCATTTTCCTTCAGCTAAGTTTCTTAAGTTTCTTATTTATCAGGGGTCGCCACAGCAGAATGAACCACCAATTATTTCAGCATGTTTTATGTAGGGGATGTCCTTCTAGCCGCAACTCATTACGGGGAAACACCCATACACTCTCACATTCACACACAGTCATATACTACAGCCAATTTATTTAATCCAATTCACTTATACCACGTCTTTGGACAGTAGGGGAAACCCGAGTTCCTGGAGGAAACCAACACAAACATGGGGAGAACATGCAAACTCCACACAGAAATGTCAACTCACCCAGCCGGGACTCAGACCAGTGACCATCTTGCAGTGAGGCGACATTGCTTACCACTGAGCCACTGTGCGGCCTTGTTTTATTTTTAAATAATTATGCAAATGCAGTAGTTAATCATAATTATCATTTTGTTATTATTTTTGTAATTATTCCATGTGTCAACAAAGCCTAAACATCCCGAGTTGTGCAGCTCTAATCTAAATTACAGTTTAATTTATGCATTGTTCTCATATAAGATGCAGTGGTCTAAGCATATTGAGGTAAAAAAAAAAAAAAACGAATTCACTTTATGAAGTTACGGCATTTTAGCCTCCTACAGGAAATACAATTGCTGGAGCCGCAGTACAATTGAACATTCACAGGAGCGGACCGAATGCACATTGCAACACATTTCCACTGTAGACAGCTTCGTTCACACCCTGTCAGAGAAAAATAGTCTTGATCGCTTTGTCCTCTGGGGATTTCACAAACCGCTCAGTTGAGCTCTGTGTGGCCAGACCCTGGTCTTTAATGCACATTAAACTGGACATCTGGCTTTAGATTTAGCAGTCTAGGTAAAGATGGTTTCGTAGGCTCTCTTCAGACATAAAGCTTGGCTCAACCTGGAAAACTGCTTCTCTGTTTGCCCTGCTCTTAATGTCACAAGTGGGGGACGTTAAGCGTTCATATCAACCCAGATTGTTATGAGCTCCCCCTATGAGGAGTTCCCAGCAGTGCAACCTTGGAATGTAATGCAGAACATAAATATCTGGAGAGAGGAATAGCTCTTTATCTGGACACAGCAAACATCAGTCTTCCATCTCCCTGTGAAAATACATATTTTTGCAAAGAACAAACAGCGGTTAGATTGGTGCCAGGACAGTTCAAAGAAAAGTTTGCTAGAAATTATGTATTGTGTAGTTGGTGTGAACTTGCAAGCTTGAACACTCAAGGCCAAAGGAAGGGCACAGGCCAAAGTTTAGAGATTACAGAGATCTAAAAAGAGACATGGAGTACTGTAGACATTGTTTAGCTCAAGTAAACACGCCAGTTGTGCCTCTGTGTCAGATTTCATTAGCATGACATCAGTGGGAGGGCTTGAATAAGTCAGAATCCTCCAGCATTATTCTAATGGCCTTCAAGAGCACAAGTAAACATCAAAGCTCTGATCGTGGAGTCTGTTTGGTTTGTGCATTATTGTTCATTTTGTTTGTCTTCCTTTCATATTGGAATGAGAGCAATTCAATGCCATGTTGCACACTTGATTGCTTTGCATAAAAAGCGTTAAAATATATTTTTGAGGTTTGTTAGTTTATTTGTTTATTGTTTATTTTAATTATTAATCATAACTAATGTCTACATTTCTTTTAATAAACATGTACTAGTGTGTTTTTTTTTTATTTGGAAAGTGGTCAAGTAACTTCTGGCCAATACCTGTTTGTTACTCACTGACTTGTTTGCTTTATTTGCTTTTAACAAAAACAACTATTATTATTCCTATAGCAGAGGAATGGAAATATGCAGATTAATTTTAATGGATCCCTAAATACGTAATCTGTTGTTGTTGTTGTTGTTGTTGTTGTTGTTGTTGTTGTTGTTGTTATTATTATTATTATTATTATTTATATTATTAATATTATTAATATTCCTATAGCTGATGCATAAAAATATGCAGATAAATTATAATGGATTCCTAAATAAATTTGATGTTATTATTTTTAAATAATAATTATTATTTATTGTTATTCATATAGCTGAGGTATAAAAATATGCAGATGAATATAAATGGTTTCCTAAACATAAAATCTATAATTATTTTTATTGATATTATTTGTATTATTATTATTATTATTATTATTATTATTAATAATAATAATAATAATAATAATAATAATAATAATAATAACAATAATAATAATAATAATTGTATTAATATTATTATTGTTGTTGTTATTCCTATAGCTAAGGTATAAAAATATGCAGATAAATTTTAATGGATCCTTAAATATAAAAACTATTATTATTATCATCATTATTTTTATTATGATTATTATTATCATTATAGATTTTATGGTAATAATTTAAAATAATTGTGGAAAAACATAATGATATTAAGGTATGCTTATATTGTCATGCTTTAATTTTTATTTGTAGACTAATCTTTTGGCTTGTCAAATTTCTTGTCCATGTTGTTGACTCCTTTTAGTGAATTCAATCTCCTTGTTTTTCTCTCTTGTCCAGGAATGACGGACATTGCTGCAGTGCTGCCCAATTCATACATGTCTGATTGAGCAGAGGGGTAAGCAAGTCAGTGCATCGACGCTCAGACGGAATGATCCAGCAGGGTGAATAAGAGGAGGAAGAAGGGGGGAGAGGATGGGTGTGAATGCCTCCAGCTACCCTCACTCGTGCTCCCCTCGATTTGGGGGAAACCCACAGACCCAGCAGACCTTCATTGGTAAATGCTATTACTGAGACATTTGTTTTTTCATAGTTTAGCAAGTGATCGATGACAACAAAAAGGTCTGACAGCTTGAGCACTATTACATGCTTTTGGCTTTCAGATCGCATACATCACTGGAATTCTCTGAATCGCATTGTATTATTATCATGATAGTTTTTTTTTTTCAAGTACAAGCAAAGGAAATTTCTATCAGACAGAATTTCTTGTTTGAGTAGAATATGAAGTAGTTCTACTTAAAAAAATAATAAAAAATAGCAAACTAAGAACAATAATCATGTTGAGAGGCAGTTCACCAGCACATGGAAGAAGAATCACATTAAATTATTGACTTCACCAGCTGGGACAGTCTTCTTATTCTTTCACTGTAGCATCTTGTCTGTATTCATTTATTTAAAGACTTGGAAATTGTATCGCAACTGTCAGCAGTTGCTTCTTGTGTTTTTGTTTTTTTTCCCCTCCCTCTCTATATCCCACAGAGTCTGACTTTAACGGCATATTCTGATGTGAATATTTTCATGTCTTTGCTGTCTATGAGATCAGTAAAGTAATGGTGCTTTCAAAATGCTAAGCCATGCATGACAGTAGGCCTACAATGAGAAATGGAACTTTGGATTGAGACATAAAGTGTCGTCAGGGAGATATTAGCCATGCCGGGGAGGACATTAGATGACTTCATAGTTTCCTTTTTTGGCAGGTGAAAATTTAGAGATTTAGAGCGGGAAGTTAAAGTGCACATTAAGTGGTGTGGGGGTGCATACTTTACTTTTTGAAGCTGGAATTGTTTATGAATGCTACACACAGTGATAGGTGACCAAAAGTTACAGTAAAAACCTTTTTTTATTCGTTTAAACATTTTAAATATCAATTCATTTTCAATGTGATTTATTATTCAGAAACTCGTCTTGTTTTATGTTAAACGGATGTGTTATAAAGACACTATTATGTCCGCTTGAGATTCACTTTCAGTTTTATTTAACACATCATGTTTGGGGATGCATACTTTGCTTATAGAATTTGGAAGTGTTACTTGTTGTACTTTATCAATAGATAACCACAACTAAACATGAAAATTTGTATTTTAAAAATGTAGTTTGACAAAGTATGTCTTGAAAATATGAGACATTCTCCCTACAGTATTTTCCCCACCTAATTTGCATGTCTTTATAGAGACCCAGTGGTGTGAACTCAAGGTCAGTTTAATTTTAATGTTATTTGCATTCAGTTTGCTCCTTCAGTTCGATGTCATTAAAAGTCAAGAGTATTTCAGAATTGTTCTGAAGCTTTTGCATAAAGCAAAGCCCTGTGGTGGTGCGCTTTAGAAGAAACTTTAATTAAAATATTGGCTGAGCTCACAATGCATATTTTCCTTCTGACAACATTTAAAGCCTCCAAACTCTTACACAGCATGTTTTTTTTTTCTGTCACCAGGCGCCTCCTATGCACCACAGGGTTATGGCGGAGAGTCCAAGCTCTACAGCCTAGAACATGGCCCTGAAAAACCTCAGGACAAGAAGAAAAAGAGCTCTGGTTTGGCCACGCTCAAGAGGAGATTCATTAAGCGACGCAAGTCGAGTCGGTCGGCTGATCATGCACGGCAGATGCGAGAGCTCCTCTCCGGGTGGGATGTACGTGATGTCAACGCTCTGGTGGAGGAGTATGAGGGCACAGCAGCTCTCAAAGAGCTCAGTCTGCAGGCGGGCTTGGCCCGACCTGAAGCTCGAACCCTACAGCGTGATTTGGCTACCCTTTATCAGCACAAGTACTGCACTGACGTGGACCTGATCTTCCAGGATTCCTGCTTCCCAGCACACCGGGCCATTCTGGCCACCCGCTGCCCATTCTTCAAAACCCTGCTATCGTCATCACCAGGTTACGGGGCAGAGGTGTTGTTAGATGTTGGGACCGCAGGCATGGATGCACCCATGTTCTCCTCTTTGCTACATTACCTCTATACAGGTGAGCTGGGCTCCGATGACGCAAGGTTGCAGAACGTGGATGTGCTGGTGAGACTAAGTGAGGAGTTCGGTACGCCCAACTCCTTAGAAGCTGACATGCGAAATCTCTGCGAGCATATGCCCTATTTTGACTCACTGCTGAGCTTTTCCTCGGATTCTGAGTTGGTGGAGGCTTTCGGAGCAGGTGGACCTGCTCCTAGCAGTATGGGAAGTGGAAACATAGGGGCGAGCCATGGCTCACCTGATGAGGAGCTGAGGGCCCACAAAGCCGTACTGTCAGCACGCTCGCCATTCTTTCGCAACCTGCTGCAACGACGCATTCGCTCGGGTGAGGAGATCACAGAGCGCACTCTGCACACCCCCACCCGAATCATCCTTGATGAATCGATCATTCCCAAGAAATACGCCCGTGTGGTCTTGCACTGTATGTATACGGATGCAGTGGACCTTTCTCTGGTGCTGCGCGGGAGCCCTTCCGAAGGCAGTCTGGGTGAAGTTCAGGCACTGGTGGCTGGAAGAGGATGCATGAGCCGGGCTGAAGAGGCCATGGAGCTCTACCACATCGCTCTCTTCTTGGAGTTCAGCATGCTAGCTCAGGGTAAGTCTTTGCCTTGTTTTATCCATCATTAGTCCCACACTTGCTCTTCCCCTCTATCGCTCCACGCTCCCCCAGCTTTGTTTACTGCCTGATTAATTCACAAGCTGTCAAGGGAAGACCAGAGGAACAGGGTGGAGTTGCTGTAGTTTATGCGCCTCGTGTTGGGATTACGGTTTGTGAGAGATTCCCATATGTGCTCGACAACAAAGCAATGCAACCCCTACTCGACTCTTAATACCCCCATCTATTTCCCACTCCTATTGATGCTATTTAGGTAGACTGGGTTTTTAAGTGCTGTAGGATTGACCTCTCTTGTTTAGAGTCTAAAAATAATGACCAAAGTCTCACATCGGTTTTAGATTCAACTTTTTTTTTTGTGTGTAGAAGTTTTACTTCAAACAGTGTTAATTTCCCTTTCAGTGATTATAGCAGGAGGTAGAAGAGTAGGTCAACACTGCTGTGCTTTACATTCTGGATTCAAATGTATTTTTCCTACTGTCGATGTTTGCTGCAGGGTACAGCTATTGATTTTGTTTAATGTTCTGAATCTGTAGTTTCTGAAAGTGACTGTTGATTTAAGTCAGTTGTTTTAATTGTTTTTAAAGATGAATTGGTTGGTTTTAATCTAGGTGATGCAGCTAAAGCATTATATCTTGATATTCTGTCTTTTGGTGATTGTTTTTTGATACTTCTCTCTATTTCATACTTAAAAGATTTATATGCTGCCACTCGGATAAATTAATAAGTCCATTAAATGTATTTAGGTGAGATTCATAGTTTAAAAAAACTGACTTTTACTACATTTTTACTAAACAAACTGCAATATGAAGAAGTATAGTATAGAGTTTTTTATGCTACAACATAACACTTATTTAACAATATACCTTCATTACTGTTTAAAATATTTTGGGCTGTTTGTATAATAAAACAATGAAAAACCATGAACGATGCATCAGTTAGTTAAAGAATTTAATTAAGATATTAATCATTATCTCCAAAATATATAATAATTTCTACAAAAAAAATTGGGTTGAGATTTTAATATTGTTAAAATATTAAAATGATCAAATAAAAATCCATTAAAGTCATTGCAATATTCACTGTTATTTGCATTTTATTTTACCATCAAATTCTACTGGTCTTTTAAAATTAGCCTTACTCACTGGAAGGAAAAAATAACTTTATTTAGTGCTATCTGAAGTAGTTCCTTAAAGTAATTTACTTCTAATTTATCACTGCATCCTTGCCAAAAATCTTTTGATGTCCGTTCACTTTAAAAGGGCTTTTTTTGGCATATTGCAGTTTTGCAGCCTGATGTCATTTTTTTTTCTATTCATTACACATTTACTGGCTTTCACACCCACTTTGCTTGTGTACTTTGTATCATCAGCTCCTATTGTGAGTTGGCCAGTTTATCTCTGTTTACCGCACAAAGTGAAGAGGTGTTATTCAGAGAGCCGCCTATCCTTCTGATTACTTCATCTGAATAACAGCGTCAAACCTTGCCTGGGATCTACTGCACAGGTCTGCAATGTCAGTGTCAGCTGATCCATATGACCCATTGGTCAGCTGTGGTTTGTAACAGATAGCGATCCAATTCAGTGCTGTCAGCATAGCCCGATGATGAGCTCAAGAGGACTTGTTTTCTTCAAGAACGTCTTGTGCCATTTTTTACGTCAACCCTAAGTTTCTCCCAATGACATGGGGAAAAATATAAGGCAATTAAACCCAAATTGCATGTACAACCCTGACTTTGTATAGATTTGACTTCTTTTTGAACGATTTTTATATTATTTATATATATATATATATATATATATATATATATATATATATATATATATATATATATATATATATATAAACCTATCTGATTCTTGTCAGAAAACTTGTCAGCTGTTCCTATTCCAAGTTGTCAACAGCTATTTTTACAGTGTAGTTACAATGTGTTGCATGAGATTTTCGACACAAATTTTCTGAGTCATGGCATCATCATTGAATTAGCTTGTTTGTTTTGTAAGGCCCAGTCAGTCGTCCATCTGTCAAAGAAAGCCCTAGAATAGAGTATTCAGCAGCGAACACAGGCAATCATTGAGGTCATTTCAGTGCATGTGTGTTGATGGCCTCCAGTGAGAGACTAACGTGGCGATGACCTCTAGGAAATGGAAGCACAGCAGTCATTTAACACCCAGTCAGCAGGCGGTTGGTGGTTGGTACATGGCAACGATAATTAATGTGCTGACCAGGCAGACGCGCATTGATAAAAGCCACCCATTGGTCTGGAACCGACTTTGTTTAGCAGGGGAAAATCACTCATGTTCACACTAACTGTTGGAAATCGGCTCCGGCAGCTGTGGATCTTGTTAACCTCTTTGTTATACCTAAGCTGGTAACTTAACGGTGACAATAGCTGGACATCAACAACTGATATTTCTTGTAAATGGAGAAAAAAAAAGTAATACTTGTCTAACACACGTCTACGTAACACACTCTGAGTTCATCAAGTTTCTTTGAATCTTCAGTGCCGCCTCAACATGCTCAATAATGTTTATTTCTGGTGACTGGGCTGTCCAATCCTGGATCACCTAGACCTTCTTTGCTTTCACATTTTTACGTTACTTTGATGTGGAGGCTGAAGTATGAGAAGGAGCTATCCTGCTGAAGAATTTGCCCTCTTTTGTGGTTTGTAATGTAATGGGCAGCATGTCTTGATACCTCAGGCTGTTGATGTTGCCATCTACTTTGCAGATCTCTTGCAGGTCTCCATACTGAATGTAACTCCAAATCATGATTTTTCCTTCATCAAACTTGACTGATTTCTGTGAGAATCTTGCATCCATGCGGGTTCCAATAGATCTTCCGCAGTATTTGTGATGATTGGGATGCAGTGTAACAGATGATTCATCAGAAAAACTAACTTCTGCCACTTTTCCAAATGAACAACTAGAAATAAAGTTTTATTTGTTGCTCTTACAACTAGGATCGATGGCAAGACTTTTGTCAGATAGTGTTAGGGCACACTTTGAGAGTTTGATTTAATTGTGATAAATTTGTTTGTTTGCCTGTTTATAATGGGGAAAATGTATTATTTTTTTAACAGAAATGATTGACAGACTTCCCTTAAGGAATGAGGAAGCATAGGAGAGAGCACACAATATGCTCACTTGTCTCTCCGTCTGATATCTGTGTTTGACTGCCATATGTTCGCCCAGCTTGCGTATGTGCCAATCAAATAAAAAGTGGATTCATTTTCTTCTCAACAAGTTTACTCCAGTAAATACAGATTAAATATTACAATTAATTACTGAAACAAAATGCTATGCATGGAAAAGTTATGTGACTACAGTAAGTACACTTGTTATTGCTCTCTGTTTGCGCGTAGACAATTGATGTGAAGGGAAATTGTGAATGGATGGCAGCAGTGAAAGTGAAGTGTTGCGCAATGCAGTGTTGACTTAAGTTTATCTGTGTTTGCTGAACAAATGAAACCATCTCATAAGATTATCTTTGATATCTCTTGATTCATACATTGGAGGAAAGTGTAAATAATCATTTATGATTTATTGGTGATCAACCTGGTGGTAACTTAGTGGATATTAAATGATTTGTCAAGTAATAAAATGTTAGTTTTGCTATGTGATCTGTTGCTCATTTAAACTAGGGGTGTGTCACTTTATAGATTTTGTCAGTATGGCACACTATTTAAAACATGATACCATTGCAGGTCTATATCATTGGTTTTTGCACATCTCTTGGCCTTTCCTAGCTTTAAATTACAACTTTTTAATGCAAATATGTATGACAGAATTAAACTGCTGTGTAGGTGTGGAGGATAGGATTTTCAGTGAATATAATGAATTGAAAAGTTTGTTTTGCTCAGTTGGCATGGACTTCAGAAGAATATACATGATCCTTTAGAAGATTGAGGTTGGTAAGGAATCTGTAGACAGTTTCCATACTTTTTTGCCAACTCTACAAGTTAGTGAAAAGCTTAACATTGGTGTAGAAGTTTGAAAAAGTAGGTTTTCAAGTCAAGTCATATGCTGAACATTCTTGATATACTGCAGAGATGAAATTACAGTCCTCCCAGCCTACGGTGCAAACAAGCAATATATAAATAAATTTACAAAACAGAATACAAAACAAAAGTACCAATAGTGCAAAACAGGTAAGTTAGGCAATGTGTAGTTATGCAAAAGATCAGAAAAGTGTAGAATATGGGATATGCTATGTTCAAGTGCTGGAGTGAGGGGGTGCAGTCTGTGTTTTTCAGTCTGTGTTTATAGTAGGCAGGGCTGGGAGCAGAGGAGGCAGTGCTGGGAAGGGAGTTAAGTCTCCTCATCGTCTGGTGAAGGTAACTGTCCTTGAACCTACTGGTTCTGGCCCGGAGACTGCAGTCTCCTCCCTGATGGCAGCAGGCTGATGTAGCTTTGAGATTGGTGAAATGGGTCACCTGCAATCCTGATGGCTTTCCAGGTAAGACGGGAGTGGTAGATGTCTGAGAGGGTGGTGAGAGAGACAGCAATGATCCTCTCGGCTGTTCTCACATTGTCCCGCAGAGGTTCCAACATGACGCGGTGCAGGCTCCGTACTACACGGTGACGCAGCAGGTCAGGATGCTCTCGATGGCACCAGTGTAGAAGGTGTTCATGACGGAAGGTGGGGCTCTTGCTCTCCTCAGTTTGCGGAGGAAGTACAGGCGTTGTTGGGGTTGCAGTGTTGTGGTTCCAAGCAAGATCTTCTGAGATGTGCACTCACAGGAACTCGCTAAACAAATCAAAATGATAGACAAAATGTAGCCACTTTTTACAAGGTACTATTCAATCTTTTGTAACATACATCTGTTTATTGTCATCTTTGACCATTTGAATCCACGTTTAGTAAAACAATTTTTCTGTTTATATTTTTAAATGAACAAACCTCAAGATTGAAGCGTCTCAAATACTTTTATTCTGCCTCTCTTACTACTTTGTTATTTTATAGCTTTAGCCACTTAGGCT